ATTGTGTTTATGGTGATGACATTTGGAGATTTAAACTCATGAGGAAATGCGTTAGCATTCCTCGCTGTGAGCGTTAGCTATACTGCCCGTATACTGCTTATTGCACAGCTAGCATTAGCCTTATACTTAATAGTTTTCACTTACTTGCATGTATGAGATCAGTTAAGTGCCTTTTATTAGTTTCAACTCCGTTTGAATGTCAGTGGACTGCAAATAAGTCATAAAGGAGCATGGGCTGCTCCCATTCCTGGCCTCAAAAGAGTGTTTGCTGGCTGTTATACTCTGTTCACCTGAGACAGTACCACGAGGAGAACAGGCAACCTATTGTGTAAGTAGCAACAAGCAGGTCACAAAGTATGATCACAAATCACTAGAATCTGTTAAAATCTGTTTTATTAAAAAGTACAGCTGCATATGTGTTCTCAGCCTTGGAGAAACTTGCCATGTTTTTGGTATGGTCTGAACCTCCCTTAGTGGTTCATAATAAAACAGATATATTCAACGTTTGTCTACTTTGTTCTGTGCTGTTGGGTTAATTTTCAGTAGTGTGTCTATAATGTAATTTACAAAATGTGAAAAGGAGGCAACTTTGAAATAGGGAACCTGTTCCCAGGTGAAATGAGAGTCAAACTAAAAGCTTATTGGTTATTAAACAAGACTTCAACTTTAAAATAGGGGAACATTTCTAAGATAGAAATACGAATTTTTCGTTGTTATTTAGCCAATTAACACTTATAGTTTCATGTCTTCTTACATAAGAATAGATCCATATTTGTTAAGTGTTATTATTGGAGAATTACATCTTGTGTTACTACTGCTTATTGGCATATTGAGCCAGCGCCTATTAAGACCCAAACTCATGGAACAACTTCCTCCTTGCAATAAATCAGGTACTAATTAGAGGGTTATTGAGGAAAAACCAAGTAATGCGTTTATTATGGGAGATAATGGTCATGTAGAAATAAGGCATTCTAATAAGTGTTTTTATAATGACTAATTAAGAGCCAAATACTGTTACTTTACGTAACCCTAACCCTAACCCTAACCCTAACTAGTTCATGGTGAATTTGTGTACCTTAATATAAGTGTACGAAACATTTATTATTTTTAGAGTCAAACAACATTTGACACACATTTAAAGTTTATTGTACAGACCTTTCACAATCAGGAGCAATCGCATCTTTCCATCCGACCAGGCATGAAGAAAATAATACTGAAAAATAATAATATAATTATACAAAAACAAAAGTGAATCACAATGTTTTTTTCACCCAAAAAGGGGGGGGATCTTTTTCAGAAGCTAAAGATATTTGTTGTTTTTCAAGACTGACTTTTATGTTAGGACTAATCTTGATATTTCAGGAACTGCACTTATGTTAATGGTTTGGGCTCATTGCTCGGCTGTATGAGGCAGCGACATCCTCCCTTACGGTATTTGTAAAAATGATAACATGCTTCCAGATTTTATAATTGCGCCTTTGGTGTGAAAGAAGCCAAATATGTTATTTTAACCAAACCTACATATCACAAAACTTAACACTGTTACTACCCAATTAGATACACATGCTATTGTTACGGTATCATTTTGTCCAGGTGTTATTGATGCTGAGGAAATAAAAACATGACTTTAACATTAGCCCCTTACACTTTACCAAAGAGAAGACTCTTACATATGATGCGGATTTTTGTTAAATTCAGTCCATATATTAAAGGGTTGAAGAGTGGTGGGAAGGTGAAAAAGTACAGAGATAAAAAAATACGCAACATGTTGGGAACACCGCTCATATCAAACCTGCTCTGTATTATTTCAAAGAAACCCCCGAAGGAGAAGTTAAGCAGGGAAACAAGGTGAGGTGTGCAGGTACTGAGAGCTTTCTGTCTGGTCTGTTTGGAGCCAGAGAAACACACTCTGAGGATCCTCATGTAAGAGTAAAACATTAAAATTACAAGAGCAACAATAACAGTAAACGTGTAAAAAAGTCCATAAGTATTATTGACTGTAGTGTCAGAGCAGGCCAGTTTAACAATGGGGAAGTTATCACAGTACACTTTGTTAATGATGTTCCCACACAGCTGTAAAGAGGCACTCAGTGATATCATGACAGAAACATGAAGAATGGGGAAACACCAGGTTAGAGCGATAAACATGGCAGCTTTGGTACAAGTCATTCGTGTGTTATAATGCAGAGGATGACAGATAGCAAGATATCTGTCATAAGACATGATGGCTAAATTATAAATCTGTACATTTGCATATGTATACACAGAGAAAACCTGCAGGAAGCAGAACGGAGCAGAGACAGTGTGAATGTCAGAGAGGATCTGAACCAGAAGGAATGGAAACAACCCTGTACTACCATACAGTTCATTTACAAACAGGCTGCACAGAAAAAGGTACATAGGTTCATGTAAGCTCCTGTTCACACAGATAACCACAATCAGAAACACATTAGCACCTATGATACAAATATAAAAAGTCAGAATAATCAGAAATATTACATATTTAAGTAGCCCAACATCAAAGTAGGCATCTAAAGTGAAATGTGAAAGCTGTGTTGAGTTCATCAGGATCATCTGATAAGTTTAAAGAGTATCAACAATTTACAATTTTACATTTTTTTTTAAACTTGCACAAATTTAACTATTTCAAATAAACGATTCTGGACTTTTATATTATAAGACTTTTGAAGTAAAGGAAACATTCAGGATAGAAAAGACAGTGTGAATACTTACACTGACCTGCAGGCAGCTGTAGTCACACAGTGACTGCTTTGTGAAGTGATGAAACTTTCCTCTGCTTCTTTTAAACTCTGACTCATAGGATCACAAGAGTCTGACCTCATTCCCACTGAGGTCTGAACGCCCACTCTATGCTTGATGAAAAACAACTTGGATCAGAACAAACTAAAATAATCAAACTCATTGTTTTTTTCTCATTAAAGTTTTACAAACAGTATTTTTATATACAAATTGAAACATGCTAACGCATCGTTAGCACATAACTCACGACATAACTCGCGACAAAGTCATGCCATCAGCACAAACTACATATGGGCGACTGTGGCTGTGAGGGAGTGCGGTCGTCTTTCAACCAGAAGGTTGTGGGTTCGATCCCAGCCCATGCAGTCAACATGTCGATGTATCCTTGGGCAAGATACTTAACCCTGAGTTGCTCCCGATGGCATGGCCAACAGTGTGTGAATGTGTGTGAATGTTAGGTTAGGTTAGGGTTAGGCTATTTATTTTCTGTAACTTTCACGTTGGTTGCAAAGATGCTTCCACTTGGATGAGGCTGTGGCCTTCTCATGTCTTTGCTTACGGGAGGGGGGTCTTTAATGTCCCCAAATATGGGATTTGTAGAGATTTTTACTTGACATGTAGTATGTAAAGCGCTTTGAGGGGTCTTATAAAGACTGGATAAAGCGCTATATAAGTACAGTCCATTCCGTGTTGAGAGAGAGCTTGGTGTCTTTTCTGCAGATCACCTTATTCTCTTAGGAAGTGGGTTTTGAGGTGGATGAGGTTGTTTGTATATAATATATAACAACATTTTCTTTAGTTAATTTCACTTTATATTAAAGGGGCCCCATTGTGCTTTTTATTTTATTTTCTCTTTCGTGTAGTGTGGCTAAACTCCCTGTGTTCCCTGTCTGTCTCCAAAATGACCCCTGTCAGGTTCATTTTAGCTTAATTAGTGTTGCATTGGTTAATATTGCAAAGTGTTGTAGATGAACACATTTGAACTATCTAATTGAGTAAACGCATTTAGCCTGTCTCATTAATTTTTATATCATTTGAAATTGAGGCAGATTGGTAAGGGTCCACTATTGTGGCTCTCCCCTTTGAAAACATAACATCCATTGTTCCTATTTTTTGGCTACAAAATCCCACTTTAGTGATCCTGACGATGTTTGAGTGTACTAACCGCATTATGCTGTCTTCATTAGTGTGAAAAATACACCACCACAAGCAAGGTAGAGTCCAATGCCAAAACACTGTTTATCCTGTAGTACAAATTGTGAAATGATATGAAACCCATTTAATGCTCTCACGCCATCAGTTACACACAAGGCCATTATGTGTACCATCCAAGGCTTAGGTGATTAGCTTTGTTCTTTTAGCTAAATGATTATTCATACTGCACTGTGTGCTTGAGGCAGTACGGGATAAGTATTGAAGGATTGCAGTGAAGGGCACTGAATGGTTGACTTTGAGAGTATTTTGTCTGTTTCTGATCTTCTAACTTGATTTTAACAATAATATTAAACTTTTCAGTAGTTTTTTACTCAGATAGAAAATTATAGAAAACCTAGTTTGATCCACCAATGTCTTTCTATGGGATGATGTCAACATGCTCCAAGGCTTTCCCTGATCATGAGAAGGATATAAATCAATAAGAGAAATAACAAAAGCTTTGCAGCAATCTACAGTCGCCTGCTCCTTGTGCCCTGCTGATCTTAAAATCCAAAGAAAGTCAAATGGACGGCAGGCACACCTACAGACAAACCAAGAAGCAAACAAAACAACAGAAAGCACTCAAACTGTTAACGGTAGGTGAGTGTGTGTAAGGTTGATGGATCAAGTGATAAATAATAGTAGCTATATACAGTCCATCCCAAGAGTTTGCCTCTTTTTCTAAATACCTTCAACAAACTTGCTGTTAAAAGGGAGCACAGCCAGGACAACACAGACACAGATGCTATGACACAACAAAAAAAGCGGCTTATTCAGGTGAAAAACACAGGGGAACACAAGGAGCTTTTCAGGTTGCTTTCCAGCCTAAAATAAAACCTGTTTTTGTGTGTTTTGTGCATTTCTCAACTACCACACGCCTTACTCGGGAATACTTTGTAAGGCTGCATCTGTTGTGCGGCTGCTGCTGTCTGTCAATCTCCCAAACGTACCTTTCTTGTCTCCAAAGAAGAGGGTCTGCTGTGCAGGGTTTGACCACTGGAGGGAGGTGTTGTCATTATACTCCACACGGCAGGTCATGGTTACCGTCCCACCCTCCGTCACCGTCATATTCTGAACCAGAGGGTACTGACCGCTGATGCCTGTAACATGACACATATGGAGAAAAGCGTAAGAGGAGATGAGGATGCATCAGGAAGAGAGAGAGAGAGAGAGAGAGAGAGAGAGAGAGAGCGTCACTGCGGTAGACAGAGGGAAACAGATGGTAGATTTGTGATTGCTTGATTTGTAGGGTTGCTTTGTTAATTAAATGTGCTTAATACATTTCTGATGATCCAATGAAGTAAAAAACGATGACGGTAAACGAAAAAGTAATGTGTTTTTACCCAGAGGGTTTTTAAAATATCGAAATAAATGAAAAAAAAAAACGTTTCTATCACTGAAGGAGCAATTCAGCTCCTCTCAATACAGGACAAAGACAGGATGTCTAGTTAACGTCTTTGCAAAACCCCTAACGTCCTTATTAAAAAGCTAATGTTCAGCCAGGATACTAGTACTGTGTCACTACTGTGTGCTAAATTGGAGACTAACATAGGACACAAAGGGGGCCTTTAGCCAGCGGTACCATCCCTGAAACCTCAGCGACACAGGGAAGACCAATTAAAAAACATTCTCAATGGACTTGTGTGTGCACATGTGGGTTTGTGTGTGTAAGGCCTGCGTCCAATGAGGGAAACAGAGAGATAAACACAGTTATATAATTGGGTGTGACCTCGAACTCCGAGTAGAGCTAGTTTTTAGCATCATGGACAGGTCGCTTTTTGCAATTGGTTTGTCATAGCAACCTGGCTGTTTTTCAGGACAGCTCACATATGTATGTGTGTGTGTATGCTTCAGTTCATGAATGTGTGTGTGAGAACGGCTGTGAGCAAGTAAATAATAATAACCATCAATCTATCCCTTTCCCTATGCCCAGAGGACAAGTTTTAAAGAGTGTGTGAGTAAAGGCTTAGGTAAGAAAGATTATTCATCCCAAGCTAACTTTCTCGCCGTATACCAAGACCCCCCAGGATGGGATCATAAAGCAAAGAAAAGAAAAGATAAATAATCATATATTGAAAAAGAAAAAACATCTCAAATCCATTCCTGTCTGATGCAGTTTAATACCTTTCCATTCAAACACTGCCAATGTATTATATCTCATTCAGCAGGCACATGTTTATGTCTCCCTCACTTCAGTTAATGACTGCACAGGTAAGATAAACAAACCCTTAAATAGCGCTTGCCTGCAGGGAAAGCAGGTGAGGCAAACCCCACCACTGACAGACCTGCGGTGAAGGACGTGTTGAGAGGAGAGAGAGTGAGGTGAAGGAGGGGAGGAGAGGAAGGGAGAGGTAAGTCAAGGAGCATGGGTCATTTCCAGTGTTGATTAAGGCCTCCCGAGGTTAATCATGCATGTGAGAGATAGAGAGGGAAGAGCAGGCAAACGGGGGAAAAATGGATCTGAGGAATGGGAGGCTAGGAAAATGGTTTATTCATGAAAGTTTTGCATGAGGCATGATCTGCCAACGGTTTACCGTTCTCCTGCGCCTGCCCTCGCTCTCTTTATTACTTCCTCTCTTTAAATCACTTACTTTTTTCTCATTTTTCTCGCTCACGCAGTTGGGCGACATGCAGCCCACTGAGATACATTTTATTCCCTTTGTGCTGGTCACAAAGGGAATTTAATGGTTAGCTGCCATACCCAATGGTGGAAATGATGATTTTTTTTGTGTGGGTTCTGAACAATATGATGCAGCGTATCATTTTAGTTCATGACTGCAACATGTAATTGAAAATGGAGACATCTTGCGGATATTATGGCTTGTTGTATTTTCCACCCTGTACTCATCCCTGAATATGTAATCTTCTAATTAAAAATCAAAATGATATAATTCAAAGAACAACAATAAGAAAATATGACATTTAGGTGATTCAATGTTACACCAAAGGCTTATGCCCCTCTGAAGACAGATGCTTCCAGATGTTTAACCATCTAGATTGTCTTTGAGACAAAAATATTAAGCCAACATTTAAATTGTAAATACATATATGTAATGATTTATAGCACATATTATGATGTAGATATGTCAACAATATCTCTTCCGTTTTCTCAGTTGAAGTTGTGGTACTGCAGACAGAATGAGATCACTATGTGCACTACAGGTGACACATATTTTAGCATCCATTAAATCAAACTATAAGTTTATATAATAATAACTTCTTGATGTCTTCTTCTCTCCCCTCACTGGCACTTGTCTCTACACAGAGTTACAATAGTCCGGGGATCCCGCTGAAACACCTCCATTGGGACTGAAAGGGCCAAAGGGGCCACAATGATGGTTATATTAGAACAGTGCAGTGCTCTGTGTGCCTAATTGGCCAGTGGAGTAGGTTCTCCCATTCTCCCCTCCGGCCACCCAGACCTGATTTAAATGTATCTCCTGAGGGAAAGAGGCAGCTGTTCTCTTCTGATTTCCATGTCTATATTTAGGTCCTTCCCTCACTTCACCTCCACGCTTTCTCCTACTTTCAGTTCCTTGCTCTCTTTTCCAGTTCACATCCATTCTACTCAATTCCCTTTTCTGTATTCCTCTTTCTCTCTCTGTGTCACGTTTCCTGCTTTAGTTGATCCCTGAAGGGTGGCATTTCCACTTTCTTTGTCTCCGATTTTCATAGTCTCTCTGGCTCCCTAGTCTTTCACATTTATCTTGATCCTACCTCCTTTCTTGTGCTCAATTTGGCTCTATCTCTCATGGAGAGTGAGGTCAGTTTAATTGCCCTCCACTTTGACTGACATGCCAAGCCAAAGCCGGGTCAACAACGTCCTCCTGTGCATGGCATTATGAGGTAATGACAAAATGAAATTGGCTTTGCTTTATTAGGTTTAATTTGATCTTATATAAGTCAACGTTAATGGCATATGCTATAGAGCAATGCAAAGCTTCATTTTCTAGGATGGTGACCATTGCCACGTGGGTTACAGCTGCCTTTAAACATATCATTATTTCCTCTAGATTGTCACACTTTATTCTTCACACCTGTCTCTGTAGATCTACATATTCTATTTAATGGGTCCACTGGTTACCCTCCTATACCCAGTGTATAAACTGGCTAATAATCAAGGCTGGCAGCAAAGCTTCCCCACAATCCTTTGGACTTGTGCCTCTCTGCACACAAAGAACTGAATTCAATATTTCTCAACAGACCAATATATTACTTATGCCAAAATCAGATGCCTGTGCTGCCAGTAGAGCTCTTCACAGAGGCACACTCAGACAGTACCTGTTGCCAAAGCTAACTACCGGACAAATAATACCGATAAACAGTATACCGGATGCTTCCTGTCTGCGATCCGACATGACCTTTCAAGCAAGAGCAGCGGAGTCTACTAACCTTTCTTATTTAGGCATTCAAGAAGCAGAGAAAAAGAGACAAATGCAGGCAGACAGATGGACAGCCTGGAGCTACTGACCTTTAAACCAGGACTGGAGCTCAACTGAGCTGTAGAGCTATGATGTATGGGCCGGGAATGCAGGATTACTAAATGGATCGAGGCGGTGCACAGTTCTGATTAGACGATTCACCTTTTAAGCCAGTCAAACATCAACCTTATAAATGCAGTCTCTGGATTTCATCACTGTACATTTGAATTAAAAGGATTACACTTGTTTTCAACCTGCCTTCATTTCAATCGGATATGAAATCACCAAAGACATCTCAGAGATCTGGGAACACAGTGATGTGGATGTGTTGTTGCAAAAGCTCAGAGTGCTAAGAAAGTCAGGCAGGTTGTAATAAAGTCAACGGTAGGTAATCCAGAGAGTAAATCTGATTTATAGTGCTTTATGTCATTACCTGCACCACAGTTTGTATGTTTGTTTGTTGGCTTGTTTTGTTGTTTGTCAGCATGTACGAAACAACAACTTCTGGCTCGATTTCAGGGAACTTGGAAGATGAATGAGCCGCGAAATGCTACATGATACATTTTGAGGTGTATCTAAATCACGGCGCTGGCATCTGTCTGCACCCCATGCATTCTTTGTTGTCTATAATGACTTAAAGAACACTATTATGAACACATGCGGTTGTTTTTGATCAATTAGATCAAGGGGTTAATAATCGACCCCAAAGTGGTTCACTGTTCCCAATGTATTCCACTCAGAAGATCATTAATTAGACCCTCCAGAAAAACGCGATTCTGCGATCGCAGAATTTACCGCATAATCAGCAAAATGGCGCAGATTTTTAAAAGGCCGCATAATCCCCGCATTTTCCACACAAAGTTGAGAAAAAAAATAGTTAACTCGTATTGACGTGAAGTAGTGATGATGATGACGTGACGTCATCAGCTCGCGCATCACAGAAGGTAAACAGCACCGTAGAGTGAACGTGTGGAACTCACAAGAGAGAGAAAACACCAAGATGAAAAAATCTGATCCATCTCATTTACCGACGAACATTTCTGCTAAAGACCGGGCAAAGCAGTACCCCGATGTCTTTCACGAAAGTGGGGGGAAACTATTCTGCACCCCGTGCAACTGTGTGTTGGAGCATACGTCTGAGAGTCGACGGTGACGACCCACTTTGATTCATTCAAACATTCGAAAATGCTTTCTGCTGCTGCGGACAAGAAAGCCAAACAACTCACGTTCAGCGAGGCATCAACCTCCAAAACCCTTTCGAGGGCTACAAGAAACAAAGTGAGTAGCCTACAAGATTGAAGCTGGTCAGATAACGAACGAGTAAATGAAAACAGAATGAGGCACGCGCTGCGGCTGCGCGGTGTGTGCGCTGTGTGTGTGTTTGTGTGTGGTGTGTTAAAACGTAGCCCAATTGCTTTTACAAGTAAAGTACAAAGCATGAGATGGTGTTTAATTGAATAAGGAGAGGGGGGTTTAAGTTAGTGGCAGGGTTGTGGTGTGAGTGAGAATAATAAGGACAGGCCCCAACTATTTATAAAGAAATCTATTATTTTTTCGCAACTTTCCGCATATTTCGCCACTTCCCGCATTTCACCGCATAAAACATGCATAAACCCCGCATGTTATCGCCATTATCAAGATCTTTTTGCTCCGCGTTTTTCTTGGGGGGTTAATTACTG